GGCAACCTGGGTAACTCCTATCAGTTGTCGTAAAACAGCTTGACTATGGAGCAGAAGAGTTATAGCAAAGTACACTTGGGTTTCACTTAGAATTTACTGTAAATAGGGTCATAGTATAATTTAGATTGAAAGGGACATCAGGACATGCCTCCTCAGATTAACCTCCTGCACCCAGCAGGGTCAGCTCCAAGGCCACATTGCTCAGGCTTTATCCAGTTGAAAACCTCCCAAGGATAAGCTGCACCACCTCTTTGGTCTGCCTGTTCCACTGATTCACTGTCCTCACAGAGGGGTTTCATCACCTTTAATCAGAACCTCTAGTTTCAAGTTATGCCACTGTCTCTCATCCTCCTACCACACACAACTGAAAAAAGCAGACTACTTTCCTGACAACTTCTCCACACTTACCAGAAGGCTGCTGTTAACTCCTCCTGAAGTTACCTCTTCTGTTACACTGGAGACCTTGTTTACGGGCAAAGAGGAAGCATAACATTATATATATATATATATAAGTAAAGCTAAAAATTTATTGTTAGCATATGGAAATCTTAACCTAATTCAAGGATCACTGTTAGCCTAGATTTAATTATTACAGGAAAAGAAAGAATAATAATGCAGTTAGAGTACTTTTATACAGAAGTAGTTGCAGTAATAGTTAAAATTGTAACACGTTTCTCGGTTTCCATCCCTTTTCTAGAGGTTATTTTCACCCTTCTGTTGCTCCTCTGGGTCTCAAAGTCAATAGCTCCAGACTGGTGGAAAGGATAATGTGAACCTGTCAGCATCTGGAGTCCTTTGTTGAGAAGAATATGCTGCTGCTTTCTTCCCCCCCCCCCGGATCCACTTGGGGTTCTTTTTATGTTTGCTAACATGCTTTTACATCTTTGTCTTCCCTCATTGGTCTACAGCTCCACACTACATCCAAATTTATGATATATGGTGCCCTTCACACATTAGATACAATTTCTTTGTTCTGTTACTCCCTCAACACAGTTTTGTCCAGTTCTGGTTCTGCCTTTTTTAAACCAACAAACAAAAACAAAACCAAAACCAACCAAACAAAAACAACCAAAGAAAATAAGCAACAGCAAAAAATCCCCAAACAACGAACACACACTTGACCACTGGTGAGTAACCACTCACCAATACATGACCATAGGGTCTCCAGTCCCATACATGTGCCCCATTGTCCATTTGTACTTCTGTATGCTACATCCTTTGTTTCTACTTCTAAAGGCCTCTACTATCATACCACACCTGCATTTCTCTTCACCACACCACTGCTTTAGTCATAAATATCTCATTCTGCATAAAATAACTGCTTATTACTCTTACATATATAAAACTATGGTTGCACCACACAAAGGTAAACAGAAGTAAAACAAATTAGCCACAGACGCCTGGCCAGTTAGAGAAATTGTTGTTATAGCAAAGCTAAGTAAAACAAAGCTACAAGCAGGTCAAGAAAAGTCTAGAAAGGGAAGCCTGATAAGCCTCAGTACTAAGCTTATGGCCCGTTACTAACAACAGTAATATGGTATTACAGCACTACATCATCACCTTCTTCCAGTAGAACAAGCCCCAGCCTCTGACCATCCTGGTGGCCCTCCACTAAACTTGCTCCAGGTGGTTGAAATTTTCTTTGAACTGGGGAACCCAAAAACTTGACACAGTATTCTACATGTAGTCCAATACAAGATGCCAGATACAGCATCGTAAGTACTATCAATACTCACCCTGCCTTCTGTTACTCATAGGTAACTGCAACATACTAGCTATTCCAGGGAAGCTCCTACTTTAATTTACTTTCTTTAACTGCTCAGACTCTTAGCTGGATACTGCTGCTTCTCAGTAGAAAGGAGAACGCTAAAGAAAAATAGTCAAGTGTCCAAAGGCTGGCACATGAGGGAGACTTGTGATGGCCTGACACAACTGGGCCACAGGAGCCTTTAACATCTAGATAGATGTCAAGGCATAAAGAACCCCAAGGGAACATCTAATGCTGGCTTTTCAAACAGCTGGAAAAGTTTAAGATGTTACCACCACAACTCTTCATGTTTAATAATCCCACAGTCTAACTGACAAAGCAGAAAAAGCTTTTTGCCCCCCTTTTTTTTTTTTTACCCAGATAACTCCACACAGTATGAGACTAAAGAAACTGCTCATACGATAACTCCTTCAGTCACTGAGCGTGAAGGGGGGGGGAGCTAAAATCTCAAGTGGTTGATGATGGTGGTAAGGTAGAACCATTGAGTGAGTACTTAACCATCCCAGGTAAAAATAGAAAAAGAAAATTCACCCGTTTATTTGGCTAATTAAGCATCCCCCTCTAAAAGACTAAATTACTGTGCTGAAGGTAGTAAGACTGCGTATGTATCAGTAGTTTAGGTATCAAATTTACAGTACTTACTTCCCACAATTAAGAACCCCGAAATTCAAAGCTTCAAGTGGCCTGGACAAGCTTAACTATCTTCTAGTTAAGATGAGGGGAAAAAACCAAACATGCCAAAGTTCAAATTTGAGACGACATTCACATGCCTTTTTATTCCCCAGTATGTATACCAGTGAAGCATTTGTGCAGACTCCTCATTTTCAGTTCTCACCTTCTTCTGCTTCCACCTTCTGCTAGGAATGAACTAACCGTGAAGCACTTTCTTCACAGCTAGTTCATTCCTTTTCCTCCAAGGCACATTTTTTCCTTTGGTTGACTATCCTTCCCAAAGCCAGTTAAAAACTGTCAACCCACCCTCAAGACCCTTTGTCCTAAAGACTCCTTGAAAATCTGTGACCTTGCATAGCAGTTTAAAAGCATATGCATTTAAAAAAGCTCCTAAGGAGGTGGAAAACTCAAAATGTCTTTTGTTGTTCAAAGTGCATCAAAGGAACATTTTGCTCATCAAATCTGCTACAGCTCTTCACTCCACAGTGTAACAGGCTGAGTCTTCCAGCCTGTTCAGTGATAAATCTATAGAGACAGTTTTGTTTCACAGACATCCCTAGCATGAACTCTACAGACGTACACGCCAACAGTCTCAGGATGTGTGTGTTGGGAAATGCTGCACCGCTCATGGTAAGCCACCACACCTGTGAGACGAATTCCGTGTGCTGCATGTAGGAAGGGGGATGGGGAGGGATGGGGAGCAGTACACGCAGGGCAGACAGACAAAACTGGAGACAGCAATATGAAATTACTTATAGAATCGTAGGATAATTCAGGTCAGAGGGGAGCTCAGGGAGGTCTCCAGTCCATCCTCCTGCTCCAAGCTGGGTAAGCTTCAAGGTTGGATCATGTTATTCATGGCTTAATCCAGCCTTCTTTCAAAAACCTCCAAAATAGAGACAGCACAATCTCTCTGGGCAACCTAGTCCACTCTCTGACTGTCCTATGGGTGAAAATTTTTTTCCCTCCATCTTGGCAGAACTTGTCCTGTTTCAAGTTATGCCTGTTGTGTTCAGACTGATAAATGAAGTGTCAGTTTCTAAAAAAACAAATTCCAGACAGAAAACCCCTAGCACCTCAGATCAAGGGATAAACAATCAACCTTATTAAACCAACAAACCAAGTTTATTTATAGAAGTCTGTACAATTGTGATGAACTATGCTAGGACACCAATGAAACAAAGCAAACAAATCTCTCCCTCTCTAATGAGTGGGAGGTGTAGTCACTCACCTTTACATGCACTTAAAGGAAAAAAGATTACAGCTTTCATACACAGTTCTGTAACTATTCAAAAGTACTTTCTTGATGTATTATTCTCAATATAAGAGGTTTGCATGATAATTTACTGACTGTTCCTCTCAAAGTATTTCAGCAGAATCCAGAAACTTTGAGAGGGTAAGTGGCAGTTTCATAGTTGCAGATAACTAGGACATAGTCCATCATTCAGATCTGCGTTCTAAACTCACTGCATCTCCTCTGTTTCAGCTATCTCCACTAAAAGTTACTTGCAACACTGTACAGGTCTCGTTGACGTTTTGGCTGTAGTACAGACTATTCTTGTGTTACCAAATGTAGAAGTTATCTAAAACCAATACATCAAGGGCAAGCATATTAAAAATACTGAATTTGAGTTAACTTTACCTTTAGAGACCACTTGTCACTGTGCCTCAGAGCTCTGAGGCATTTCTGTGGAAAAACCAGTTCCTGAATCACTTTATTTGGCAATTATTTCTGCAAAGCATTGGAGAGTGATTATTTTGAAAACTGGCTATTGCAAAATAAGTTTAGATTTTTTTATTACAAATCTGTAACATAATTGAAGCTGTTGAAAAAAACAAAATCATATCATATGCATTATCTACACAGTGAATCACGATGTCTCCTATGAAGTTATCATGGTAGATTCCATAAATCCACTCTTAAAAAGTTAAAAGTACACATACGTGAGAGCCTACTACAACTCCAGAGAAGCTGCTAAAATAGGCCATCAAATAAAGCACACTATGATTACATATTTACAGAATAACCCACATGTGTCCTAGAACTATGGACTATTCAGTAAATAAGTATTGAAGGATTTCTAATTATTTGTTTACACGGTAGATAAGAGCTGCTTCATAGGTTGATTTTCTTTTTATACACAGTATCAATCTGCACACAATTACATGATGTTTCTTTAAAGCTACTGTTAAAAAAAGGAAGAGAAAGTTAAATAAGAACTAGATTAAAGTTGCATTAAGAATCCAACAAGAAAGCATCAAACACAGGTTTAAAAGGTAACCAGTGTATGATTTCAGAAAAACAGTAATGCTCTGACACAAGAAGAGCATCAGCATTTTCCCTCTTCAGGGTCCCCCAGAAACATTCCTATCCAGTTCAGTGCTTAAGTTATATACGTACTGGACTGAGTAGGAACAAACACGTGCTTGCACGCTTACCTGAACGAGGGCCTCTAACCTTTTAGACTTCTAATTCTCTTTTAATTTAGTTCTTAGCTCCATATATTCAGTTGTATCTTGTTTGGAAAAGTTCTTTGTTAAATGTCACTTATATTTACACTTTGATTTTTTTTTTTTTTTTTTACACCTGAGTGATAATTTAGCTGTCACCTTGTGTCCAGTCAAATATTCCATAAAGCCATACAATTCTTGTGCTAGTGTTGCACTCCACTTGTACCAGTTTATATATGGAAAAATGTGCATCAGCTACCTCTCATACATTACCCACTGACCTTTCTATGTCCTTAATGTGTCCTTCCCCTTCCACACAAAGTGATTTTTTTTTAATTATTAATATTTTTTGTTTGTTTATAGAAGCCCCGTTTAAATGGTTCACAAAGCAAGAACAAAGTGAGCTGGAGCCCAGTGAAGACACAATGACTTAAAAAGTATGTAATATTGGAGGCTTGGAGAAGAAATTAAAGCCCAACCAATGAGCACCCCAGGGCCATCCCAGAAAAAGCTACTCCACTCAGTTACAGCTGGAGACTCCGGATGTACTATGGATGATAAGTCCCACGTCAAGAGCTGTGTACCTCTCTCTCATCAGTTAAGTGTAAGTAAAAAAGGGAACATCAAGTTAAACAGCTATACCAGCCAAGCCGTTTTAGTAAGAAGAATCACATTTAATGAGTTTCTTTCTTGCAATTTCAGATGCTCAAGTACAGCTGGTAGAAATTCAAAACAGCCGTAAAGAACTGTGACAGACGGATACAAATAGTACTGCAGCTTAAAAATGATAAAAAACACCTGAAAAAAAGTCACACAACCCTCCCAAAAAAATTTACACTTTGAACCTAAGCCAGTTTTTGAAGATTCCCTTCTCCAAAGCTAGGATGAAGGAGGAAGAAAAAGAGGAAGAAAGTGCAGATGACCTTCCAGCCACAAAGGTCTTGCGCCAATGTTTATTCACCATGCCTGTGGTGGTATGTAAGGGGAGATCACCAAGTGCCGATTCTGCGACCACCATGAGATTCCTACGGAAATCCAGACCTCAGGCTAATACTGAACACAGAGTGGACCAACGAGCTGCATCAACAAAATAAAAACAAAACTCAAACTAAAAGAAATGGGAAAACCCCAAATAGCACAGATCCACATTTGTGAGGGGGGCAGGAGGAAAGGGCAAGAAGGGAGGTCTATACAGTAAATAGTTGAATGGTTTATGTTACAGATGACTGGCAGTTTTAAAGAGTCTCTTCCCAGCTCCATTGCTGCTCCAACCCAGAAGGGAGAACTGAAAAGGGAGGAAGAAAAGGTAGGACATCGTCATGGAGCATGCAGGATCAGAAGCAGCAGAGTGGGCATGCTCAAATAAGCCCCCGCCTCTTTTTGTAGTCCTCCAAGTTCAATGATCGCCGAGGGGCACCATCTTTTGCTGGTGGAGCCTTGGAGGTGATGGCCAGTGCCTTAGATTCTGTTGGGGATAAGAAAACAGTGAGGACCGAAATACCTGAAAACTACAGATTTTTACTTGTTGCTTTTACTGACAGCTTCACCACAGAATCACGTTTGGCTTCTCTAGTATATATCAGGTTAGAACTGCAGTTAATACAGGCAGTATCTGGTAGCTTATCTTCATGGATAAAGCATGTGCTATTTTGACTGTTTGTTAATTCAGCTTTCTGCCGGTAAGTATACTTTCATTTCTTAAGAAAACTACTCTATAGCATGCTGAAATCACAATGTAAACAGAGCCTGCAGGCTCAGTTCTGGGATCTTTGATAAATCATTACCCCATGAGAATAGCAAGCACAAAGAGACAGATAATAAGTGGACAGAAGTCAAACTTCCTATCCATACCTACAATACACATTTTAACCAATCCCCAGGTTCTTCTTTTAAGAAAGGAGACTGCACAAAGCAAGATGCCAAAATGGTGTTCTGTCTGAGGAAAAAAAAAACCAGAACAGCCATACTTAAACCTCTACCTATATTGTGTCTCTCTCATCCTTCTCTTTTTAGTCTCCTTCCTGGTTTTCAGTGTCCTTTAGTGCCTAACCTTCATCTGCTTGCTAACTTTCTGAAGTTTGTAACTCTCACTAACTGCTTCAGGAAGTCTCCTGTTCTTGGCATCCTACCTCATTCTGTAGTCTTAGGTACAGCGTTCCAATCTTGACCTAGTTTGGAAAGACAACCTCTCCTACTTTCCCTTCTTGGCAAGGTTTTAAGTCTTTGTGCATTCTTATAGTACTCCTTAAATTGTTGTCCTCCAAGAAACTTCAGTGCTAATCCTTCCAGTAATGCAATAAAAAATGAGCCTTGTGAGTCAAATTGCACTGGTATACTCCCATGCTTTCCCACCACTGGAAAACAGCTCGATAGGACCAGAGGAAATGGCCTCAAATTGCCCCAGGGGAGGTTTACATTGGGTATTAGGAAAAATTTCTTCACCAAAAGGTTTGTCAAGCATTGGAACAGGCTGCCTAGGGAAGTGGTTGAGTCACCAGCCCTGGAGACATTTAAAAGATGTGTAGACGTGGTGCTTAGGGACATGGCTTAGCGGTGGACTTGGCAGTGTAGTTGGACTCGAGGATCTTAAGGGTCTTTTTCAACCTAAATGATTCTATGACACTAAACTGTTCTTGCCACACATCTCAGGCTCTCAAAGTCAAGATCACAAAGACAAAGCTTCAGCAAGTTTGTGTCTATAAGCATACCTTCACTCCCTGCACAGTTTTGGTTCCCCTAAAATTTTGGTTCAATACCATCTGCAATACCAAAGTTAGGGAGCAGCAACTTGGTAAAGCAGCAGGTTCAAAATCAAATAGAAATACTTTATCCACATAGTATGTACACAGATTATGGAACAGGACATCACAGACGCCCAAAGCTTATCTGTCCTCAAAAGTGATAAGACAAATTAACCAAGTAAGTACCAAAGTAGATATCAAGGCTTATTAAATACAACACTCTTGTCTGTTCTCCAAAGATTATGCAAGTCTGTAGACTACTTCAGAAAACACTCATTACATCCTTTCCTCCATAGGCGTTTGGAGCAAGGATATGGGGATACACAGGCTTTCGGTTTAACACAACACAGTTGTTCTTGTTTTCTCAATGTATGTCACTAGCACACATCCCTTCCTCCTCAGTTCTAGATGCTTGCCAAGACAACAAACATGGAGTCCTTGCTCCCATTTTCAAAAGCCCACCAATGATTTTGAAAGAACTATTCTGAAGAAGTGAGCTCTACCATAATGAGCTGGACAATCACATCCCCAAACTCAGCTGGAACACCTACCTGAACTGGGAACCTGAAGATCAATCTTTACATCAAAGTCATGCACTTTGAAAAGATCTTCTGAGAGGTCACTGGCTGATTTAGAGTTCACATCTTTATCCTTCCCTTGACCCTGAAATAAAAACTATGGGTAAGTCTCCAACTCTTATCTGTCCAGATAAACAGAGATAAAAATGCTTTTTCCCCACTTCTGTCACAAACATACTTAGTTTAGCTTTCATACTGCTAGAGAAACTTAATTTTCTTTCCCTAAGAAAAAGCTGTTTCTTTTCTATGATAATCCTCTACAGGATACCTATTTCTAGAACTGAAGCATGCACATCTACTATTAGTCATAAGCTTCTAGAACAAAACGGTGACAGTGGGAAGAACATAACAGAGACAGAAATGGAAACTTGCCTTACTCATGTCCTTTGGAGCATCTGGTAATACACCAGACCCGTATTTTGCATTTAGTTGGGCAAGGATGGCAGCTTGGACAGCAGGATCTCTGGACTACAGAGGGGAAAAAGAAAAATAAAAAAGAAAAGAAAGAAGGAAAAAAAAAATCACTATTTAAATGGGTGAAAACTATACTGTCATTTTGTTAAAACAGCGCTCATATCCATGAATCTAAAACCATAAGAGGCTGTAGGTAAGTTAGCCCAATCTTCAGAATCTCAGAGACAACTGAAATCATCCTGATACCTGTGTAATAATGGATCTGACAATAACAAACTAAAAGTTATCCTTCAGAAAGTCTTTCTTTGAGAAAATGAGAAATACATTTCCTGTTGATATGGTTTGCTCCCATGACTAGTCTTAACACTATTATTAGATGTATTTGATTTCAGCTTACAGTTCTGGCTGAAACACTCTACTAGAGAGAAGAGATCTTTAGAGGACTATTTTCTTTACACAATATAATGTGTCTACCATAATAAAGCTATTCAGTTATGATTCTTTGCTAATAAGGAATTATTTCAGAAATAATTATTTAATTCAAGCCTTGCAATAAAATTCCTTTTCTATTCCCTTCCCAGTTTGTGGAGACTCATGAGAGCCAACCTGACCAGGTTTTTTTAAGTACTGATACTAGAACCGTATACTATTCCAGAACAGGCCTCAACAAAGCCAGATTACTTAGAAGTAGGAGCTGATCACCTTGCTATCTATCATTTATATAGCTAGGGACTGTAGTAGCAGGTTTTGCCACAGTATCATGGGGGACGTTTGTGTTAAACTACTTTATCCATCACAGGCCCAAAGTGTCTGGTCTTCTCTCGCCTTTCACAGATCTTTCAGGAAAATGTCAACTAATTCGAAGTGAAACTCACACCTACAGCAAACTGTTTTCCCAGAGCTAACTAAATCCGAGTAATTCTACATAAAAGAACTCACCACAGAAGTCTAAACCACAGTTGCTTCTCCAGGTACATATACCCACATCACTTATGTCCTTCACATTTTGCATTAAAAAAAATTAAAACAAAAACAAAAAAACAAACTGCTTTTTCCTTCTTTTGGGATAGCGAGTCCAGGATCTCACTCAATTGCATCTCACCCTGGCATCTGGAACATTAATAGCATATGGCACAACTGGGAATTAATACAAACAACATTTTCTTTCCTACTGTCTGCATTATGTTGGTTTCTGTTTCTCTGCAAATTGCCACAACTGAACTTAAGTATTACACTCACATTAGACACTATTGTGGGCTTGCACTGCCGCCTAGTAAAGGGGTCCATTTGTTGGTTTTTCATGCTGTGACTTTCAGCCTGAAGAAGAAAAAGCACGTGGTTTTGCAGAGTTAGCTACTTGCACCCTTATAAATCCTCCCACAGCACCCTGTCCATGCAAGTACTCATCAGCTATATATAATAACAAGATCAGAGGAAAACCACGAACAGCATTACAGATTAGAAAGCTTTTGACACACCCACAGTCCTATGCTTCACAGGTCAAAAGTCCTTACTGAATATAACACAGAAAATACATGCACAACTCTCAGGCTAGTTAAGGCTTAACCATTTGTTAACAAGCTTAACTTTCTCTTAATAGAAGTGTCACTGCATGGAATTGAATATTTCCTTTACTATTTTATTCTCTGAAGTCTCCTTTCTGATTTCTTTCCCACACAAAATGCACTAAGCCACTATTACAGTCAGTAATCTGCTGATAATCGAGTTGATCAAAAGGATAAAGCAATCTGCTTTAAAATCATGTAATCTGCCTATATGAAAGATTTTATAGATCATTAAAAAAATTGAGTAGATCATTAAAAAAACTGAGTAACTTCACCATGCAATTATCCCCCTTTGCATCATTTCATGTCTACTTGTACAGAAGTATTAATTCAGCACTATTTACCACAAGAGCCTTCTCAGACTCAACGATATTCCACTCTCTATTTCTCTGGTTGATGTAACTGCAGAAAGGAAAAAAAAAGGAGGGTGGGGGAAAGAAAAAGAAAGTGATCATCATTTATCAATTCCTACACAACAAAATGCCTGACAGCATTCTTGCAGCTTCATCCGGATCATAAATTACTCTTACTGCAACACAACAGCTACCTGGGGTGAGTGGAAGAGAATTTATATTTTTGACAGTTTTAACTGAATGACAGATACAAGGAAGTGAAGATAGGCAAATGCCAACAGAGCCATCATGATACACATTTCATGAATATATTGTACAGGAAAGACAAAATCCTGCAGTTAATTCACTACTGCTTTAGTTTCTCTCCTCCATATATTTTGATTGATGCTATTTAAGAAAGAAAATATCTGCTTCTTACCTGATTGCAGAAATGTTTTTTGTTCGTTGACGATCCAGGGCCTCTGCTCTCTCTTCAAGTTCATTAAGCTGATCTTGAATCTGTTTGGCCTTATCTTGGTCCCCCAAGTCCTCAGCCATAGCCTTCAACCAAACAGTAACTCATTAGGCACTACTCTCTACCACAGAGCTAGTCAGAGAAACAAGGGATACACCCATGAATCAGCCAGCTAACCCTATTCCAGTTGCAAATGTTCTACCCCGCATGGTAAGAATACAACAAAGAGCTAAACTCTCCTTACAGCTCAAGGCAAAACAGGACTTCTTACTCTGAAGAACCCTGAAAACCTTTGAAAGCCCTTAAACTAAGGAAGACGTAGGAACACTACTCCCAGCACGAGAAGGGCAAGTCAGTTAGATGATTTAAGTTACAGGTTTGATTAAAATCTAATATCACTATTTACCAGCTCAGAAAAGAATGATTATTTCTGCAACTGTCAGTTGCCACTTATTTCAGGGAGTTGGAGAGTCCCAGACCAACAACAGTAGCTTATCATGCCACCTGGTGACAATAAAAAGCAATTGCACCGTTCTGCAAAGGAAAACTAACAATTTACGTGTTCATTCATAGTAAAATGGTGAGCAAACAATACAGTTAAGCCAAAGAATGTATAACTAAAGATTAATACAAACTCTTTGTTTTTACTATATGTGAAGCATGAATGTCTTGAAAAAGGACTGCACAAATAAAACCAAACAAAATGTGTTATATCTATCTTTATCTTCAGAGATACTTAAGATTGTTTTCTTGACTTCTCAGCTTTGGCTTCTCAGCACTGTTAGGTCTATTCCAGGAGGTCTACATGTAAAACAGTTCAGTGGCAAGTAAATCTTTCAGCAATCTATTCTATTCAATATAAATTAATGGCCATAAAGTGACAATTCACTCACCCCTGAGTAAAAGACAATTTAATACAACTTTTACTTTTCCTATCTTAAAAAGTATAGGAAATTAACTTTCAAATATTATTATGGGGTATTCTGAAAGAAAAAAAAAAAAAGGAAAAAAAGAAAAAGAGTTAAGAGTTTCTAAAGCAGAACAGCTTAGGACCTTCTTGTTTAAAGGACACAAAAAGAGACAGCTACAATTGTTGGCAATTGCCCTTAGAAAAAGAATGCAATCGCTTTAACTGGGTTCCAAGTGTTCTGAACCCAGCAATGAACCTCGAGATCCACCTTTTAGCTGCATAGTTAAAGTCAGCCTTACTGCTGACTACCACCAAAATCCAGATGAGCTCCAGTTCTTCAAAATCAAAGACTGCATTAAGCTTGCAGGCATCATCTCATCTCTCACCTTCTCCTTTAACAGCTGAGTTTTCTTCATAGCATAATTTGGAGGTGCTTTTCTGAACCTTTCCTTCTCTTTCACAATCTGTAAGATGCAGAGGAAACAGCAAGAATATGCAAATATGAAATGTCTATTTCAATACTTGGACACTAGAAGCAACAGATCAATATCACCTAAGAAATGTACCTACTACCACAGAATTTTACTCATGCTCTTTCTCTGCTGCATTTTTTAATTTGTGACTTGGTAATGAGTTACAGCTCCATTCCCCTCACTTATGACCTACAAAAATCTGATGCTTATCACATTTGGTCAGTATTGAGCAAGTATTAAACTGCAGAAACTGTGATAAATGCATCTATCATGATACTGTTAGCTTTTCAGAACTTGAGAACCAAGTTACCATACTCAGGCTAGGCATTCAGAGCTCTGCAACACAAGCTCAAGAGGAGGTAACAGGGCACAAAGGATGAAGTAAACCAGGAGTGAGCACTCAACAGCTGGATCACCAAGCTACTCTATCCAGTTATTCAACTTGATTTTGAGCCTTTTATTTTCTTCTTAGGAAGCAAATACCATGATCATTTTGCTTTGTAACAGCTAGTGCTCTACTCCATGAGTTCCTGCCACCTTTAAGCACTGCCACAGCCTTACTACAACACACTGTTTACCTCCTCAATGTCCTGGTCATTAAACTTGTAGTTGAGGGCTTCTTTGATGGACACTTCCTTCTTGTTTATCTCATCTAGCGTGGGTAGCTGCATCCCAGCAGAGAACATCTAAACACAAGGACAAAGAGGTTACTTTCCACTTAAAGGATCCTTGGCAGAAGGCTGCTAAGAAGAAACTAAAGTCTGGCAAACTTACCGCTTCCTTCCACTTCATAAACTCACTTTCAGTGAATTCCTGATTTGAGACAAACTCCAAGCGAAACACACGTGAATCACTGCCATGCCTGCAACAAGAAAGTGTAACAACATCCCTCTCTGATGGTACAGAGCTATGATCTTGGATCTATAGGTGTAAACTGATTCAAGAAGCCCAAAACCAGACACGTAAGGCTACTCTTGTGGCTCGCATGCTATCTATTCCTAACTTCAGTCCAGTCAGCCACAGTTCAGGAGCCTACATCAGCTATTAGTAGTAATGCAAAGGAATACTAGACGATGAGTCTGCAGAAAACAGTCGCTCGGTTGTGACAGTAAAACCCTCAGGAGGAAACGGAAACAGACCTCTCTCACACCTAAGCCTTACATACCCTATTCAGTGACCCATGGCATGATCTTCAGAAACACAGAGCTCCTTCATGTTTGGACCAATAGAAGTAACCTTTCAGCAGTACTGAATTATACAATGCTGGAGCCAACCACTACCTAATTTTTCATTCGTTGGCCAGTCAAAAGCCAGAAATCCATAAACATTTTCTGTGGAGCACTACCTTTGGCACTACCAGCTAAACTACTGTGCTGCTACTAGCCAATACTAAAATTAGTTTCCATGGTGTAAATTTCACTCAAAGCATGGAGCTCTCTCCTGAGGCAGCCTAAGAAGTTATTGAATGTCACAATGGATTTAGATAAATTTTTTTTTTTTACTCCACACTTGCATCCATGTGCATTCTCCACATGCCTTCCCGTTTCTCCCAAATGGTTAATGTCTTCTTGTCCTATCTCACTAGGATGTTTTGTATTGTAACTGTTAACCTCACCTCATGATACTTATAAGGGCCATAAGAAAAACTGAGAAATCCAATGCTACATTCAGCTGCTTCCCTCCAAAGTACCATTTTATGTTGTAATACATATGCTAGACCCAACCATGTATGCCTTTAAATGATACATATTTCTAACATCTGATTACAACAACTGTGGAGAAAAGATATAAAAGAGTATTGCAAAACTCAGGAGGCATATACAAACATCCATGGGTTACTAAGGCAAGTGAATTGCTCAGATGTCAACACAATCACAAGTCCCTGCATGAGATTTTTTACGATTTCCATTATGCCAAGGGGAAAAAAAACCCAAAAAACCCAACCCCAACATTCTAGCAGTAAGCGGCATGGCAAGTCCCAGTCTGCTTTTTAGCTCTCATCTCCAAACCACATACAGAACATTATTTGCTACGAAAAGGACACCAGTTCATGAGCTGATGAGGATGACTTTGGTATCTTACCGCAACTGTAGTCCTTTGTTTGTCCGGGTACCACCAAGCTGGTAAACCTTTGCAGTCTCTACCACACCGGTTATTTCAGCAACCTATATCACACAGTAAAATACACAAGAGGAAGGATGCAAGAGGGGACTTCTGTGTTCCTGGAATATATCTGGATATTCAAGCCTTTTCGTGGGAGATCTAAAACTTTAATATAACTAACAATTCTAACTAGATCAAGGAAAGTAAGACTCTTCAGTGTATGTTATCAGGTACTGAATTAGTTGCTTCATGCATCACCTTTGAGTTGACAAATTATACCATCTGAATGCTTGATGCAGCTTTTGTATCTTCTCAGTTCTGCCTTCCTGACCAAATGGTGTACACTTTCCTACTTTTCCTATTGACTTTTCAGTTAATGCTGGTTTGGGTTAACGTATGTCCCAAATGAAATACACCAGTGCTGCTCACATACTGAACACAGCCCCTCTGGGAACCTTTTTAATGCAATTTTAGAGAATATTATTGCATCCCATGACTGTACAGTTACAGCAATGAAACAGAAAACCAAAACTGTGTTCTCAATCACATTCTCTTCTGAGGCACACTGATGTATTAGAAGAAACACTTTGTAAAAAAAGAACCGAGACCACGCAATAACTTGGGAACATTCCCAGAAATTAGGAGTGAATGTTACTCATCCTTACTTGGTCAAAGCAGAGTCCTGAACTCTAGTTTGCAATACAAATGATGAGACAAGACAGTATGAACCAAAGCTGGAAGAACAGGCTTTGTGAGTGCTCCCTCTCTCTCACTAAATGTATCTCTTCACCTAGCTGGTCCCATAGATTTATTTATTTTTAAACCGGTCTCCTCCACCTCTTTGGCAGCAATTACCTTTTCTGGTTATAAGCAATCTTTTTGTATTAACACTCAAACAATCACAGGTACCTGAGAAGCTGCAAATATTACATTACAGCACTATAAAAAGAACTAAACCCCTTAGAGCTAAACTCACCCGATAAACAGGTTTGCTGTTGTGATTTCCAATGCCAATACGGACAAAGCAGCCAGTGACTGTCTTAGCAAAGAAGGGCATATGACACCAGCGTTCCAGCTTGTGTCGTGATAACCGTACTCGGTTCAGTTCTTCAGGCAAGGACACTGGCTGGGACTTAGGAGGAATTTCTTCTTTCCTGATTTGGGGAAGGTGAGAAGGAATAAAGAAAAAAAGTAGAGACATAATCACCAAAAAAGGGGTCCTGAGCAAGGTGCAGCATGAGTGCTAACTATTTAAATTACTAGTAAAAGGAATGATTCATCACACGCTAGCTGACTGTAGATATGCGAATTTAGCATTCATGAGAAAGTCTAAACGCAAAGTCCCAGACTTGTTACCCACTGCCCCTGCCACCACAAAGCAGAACGACTCACACACCAGGGCAGTTTATAGGCCAATGCTTTAAGATAAGCCAGCACACCTCTCTGCCCTGCTAATGTGCTAAGGTTCTGCAGCTGCTAAACTGCAGGACTAAACAAATCTATAAACAACAGTGTAAATGGGGCTAAAGGTAACAGCAGGGAACTGAAGTTGCAAACCCATCCAAGGTAAATCAGTCGCATACACCATGATATAGAAGCCAAGGACTCAAATCTGAGCAATGCAAGTGTGCCCAGAGGCAAAACCACTTTAGAGACACTGAAATGCCCCCAAACAATCCTCTAAACCAGCACGTGTCTACATAAAGTGGATCTCTGTTTTTGAACACACACTTACAAGTAATCATAGTCCAGTGTTCACTACTTACTCTTCCTCTTCATCAGAGGATGAGGATCTGGATGAGCGATCACTTTTCTCACTAGACTTATCATCCTCCTCCTCCTCTTCATCATCAGAGTATACTTCACTAGTTTTTAATGGCTGTTTTTTTGCAAGCAATTCAGCTGGAGGAACAAGGACAGAAAACAAGGAAAAACAAGCTGTAAATTTTTCATGAAAAGTTTGAGCTCTAACAGGAAGCTTATTGTTTAAAAAAAAACCAAAACAAAACAGATAGCTATTAATTTTACGCTGGATACAAGTGCCACATGTTCAAACCCACTAGTAAGCTAAGCACTTCACTGTCTACATTCAAAGAGAAATCAAAGTATTTAAAGGCATCTTAAATCTCAGTTGTACTTATCAGTCTCCCAACTTGTTTACACATAGCAATACAAGATGGGCATAACAACTGGATATACAAGATAAAACTATTATGATCAGACAACTCACTGGTATTTTGCAAGACAAAAACCCCTCATTTTTGGAGAGGACCACAATAAAACCCAGTAGAGTAACAAAAAGGGTTCCATCAAAAGTCTGCAGCAAGAGACACAAGACGATGTGCCAGCGAAGAAACAAGCAAATGCAGACAAGGTAGCACAAGAACAATAAATATTGTTTGGATGAATCAGAAATTAAATAACAGAATCTAAAGTGACCAATTCAAATACCTGAACTAAACATTACTAAGTGCCATTCAATGGACTGCAATGAAAGTTTCCTTTCTTTTCAGACCATTCCAGGGAGGGGTGGGAGGGAGGAATACAGCATCAGTGATGCTAAACAATACCCTAGGTGGTCATGTCAGGCAAAAGACCAAGGAAAACACAGACATGGAATTCATTCACTCCAAGGTGTAAGATTGTTGCATTAATTAGAAACAGGAAGTAGCACTTTCAGAAAGCTGTAATAAGGCCTCAGAAATTGCAGCAATAGCAACACGCTTTCATACCTGTTCTGTTCTTCCTTTTCTCTCTTTCTGCTTTCAGCTCCTCCATTGCCTGAGACTTCTTGTCTAGCTTCTCATCCCGCTTTGATCGCCGCTCTTTGTTATGTGACATGACCTAAAAACATGCACAGAAAGTCCCTCAACACCAAGTGCAATCCATAAATTGAAACTCATTAAAACAAAGATTGTTTGCACACTTTGAAAACTTCTCAAATAGAAACTACTAACAAACTCCATTTTGAAACCAGTTTTTTTCAAGTTCATTTTTACAGAGGCTAGGGAGAGGGAAATCAATCTGAAGCCTATTTCTTTTTCTACTTTGTTTCAAAAATAATAAACATATTTACACTTCAACATTTCTGCCACCAAGTTTTAGTCTCTAAACTCCTCCTTAAAGTTAAAAAAAGGACTAGAGAATAAAACTGAAGTAATTCTGCAACTAACAAGTAATGAGGAAAAATTGGATGAATATTCTTCTCATTTGCTTCTCCTTCTGCAAGGCCAAATCAAGGCACTTGTTCTCATTCAGGAGCAAAGAGAAAAATTATGTTAAAAAATACTTAAGCAGAAATAAAGTTGTGTGTAAAGTCTGCAATATGGATCCAAATCTTAAATGTTGTAAGTCTTCTGATATGTTCCATTTCTAACAGGTCTATCTGGAATACCAGGTAGCACAGAAAGTAGCTTCTATAATAAGCATGAGAGACAGTCATTTGAAGTAAGTCAAAGTAATTTCTGGAAGGCACTGTAAAAGAACTCAACATAAGATCCTTTTATATATGCATATATGTATATGCATCCACATATTATGTGTTATGTATATGGACTATACAAGTATATACACACACATACATATATGGAGTTGAGAGGGGTAGGGAGATGAGATTCACTCCACTTAACATGTGCCTAAGGGAAAACTCATCTCACCTAATTTAAGTGTTAACCATCTATTTCACTAGAAAATAACATGGAGTGAATTGGCAGATGGAGATGTCCTCCTCCATTGCACAAAGACAGAGGCGACGACAAGTGCAAACAATCAACTAGTTCTTAGGCAGGTAAAGTTAGGCAAGATGAATCCCATCCCGTTCTGGGAGTCTATCTGCCCAGACTCTATAAATAGTTAAGGGTGGGATCTTAACCATTTGAAACTACAGTTCAGTTACAGAGGCCTCACCCCAAAAAAGAGTATTATCCTCTTTCTACTGGAGGTGGAAAAACTATAGAACTACTTCTGCTCCTCCTAGCATTCAAGCTTTTCCTTGATACCCCTACCAGTAGAAACTAAACATTCTTTCCATTGTATGTGCATGCAAAATAATTAAGACAACAGCTGAGCAGTTTCTGGCCCAATCTCTCAAACTTGCAAGAAGGACTGCATATGTAACATTTCAGACGGAATGACAGAAGTTTGGCTAAAGGAACTGCAAAAGGTTGCTTTTCTGTTCTCATATGGGAGGACTATCACAGCAACTCCAGATATAGCTGCAACTTTGCATTCCTCATTAAAAGGAGTTGTCAGTGCACCCCCTCAGCAGGCCAAAGATGTTAATTTCTTTAAATGAACTGGAAAGGCTAAAGATAGCATAAGCATATAAATGAACTAAATTCTGACCTGTTTAACACACTGTTTGACATTAAGGGAAAACATTAGGTGCAGAGAGAGGTAGCATCCTATCTCCCGTTGCCAAGGGAAAAGGGTTTGTTACTACGGACAGTTTCATTTCCTACCTGGGATTCCTGGATCTGCGTGAGTTTTTTCTTCTCCTGCTCTTCCTCTTGCTTTTTCTTTTTCTCTTTCTTTTCTTTCTTTTTTGCTGTTTTTAGTTTCTTCTTGATTTCAAATCTAGTAGCAGATATTGAAACAAAAAGAATGTGTGAAAGAATGCTCTTTCCCTAAGCGAGTGAAGTACTGCTCAGATGCTATCACAGCTTAAGTTGTTAAAAGACTGTAAAAGGAACACTTCCACTGCCTGCCTCAGATGGATAACCCTTTAACGCTATCCTGTCCCTCATTCCCATCCCCTCCCTTCCCCAAGAAAAATAAGGTGAAGAAAAGCTGAGCATAGAAAAGTGCAGGCTTACAGACAGCTAACCTAAATGGCTGAGGAGACAACATGGCTACTCCCTAGAAATCTGTCCTTACTCCATCTTCATCTTTGCCAGTGCAGTGACCATCACATGCTGCCTCCAACTCTAAAAACAATTGGCTATTTCACACCATTTGAATCTCAACAGCTAAAAACTTGGTTGTTTAAAGCCAGTATCATGCTAACTTTTTCATGCTTAAACTCCACCTTTCTACAGGCACTAGTCTGTATAAGAATGACTGCAAAGAAGTCACAGTGAGTCCTCCTTCAGCAGCTATATTCCAATCAGACTCAGGCATTTTCTGCAGTCCAGTTTAGGCATGTCCATTTCTACCTTCACGAAATATGTCAACCTGAAATCTTATTTTCAGCCACTGTATTCAGAATAATAGTGATTTCATTGTAACTGTCCTGTGACTGAGATTCCACCGCACCATGCATGTGGCTGCATGTGGTCATTGCTTTAGTGAAGTGTGCATATGGACAAACAGAAGAAAAAAAATTACTTAACTTCCAATAACTGAAATTCAAAATGTGTTATCCACATGCATATTACATAGTCCATTATTCTTCAGTCCTTTACACTTGGATTTTGTAGACAAGATACTGAAGTGCCAGATGAGCTCATTGCCCTTTTGTGCCTTTAACATGAAGCATAACACACAGGGCACAGGCATTTTATCACATGCAATGCCTGCTGTAATCCTAGTGAACTCACAGCACAATGTACATACAAAGAGCTAGACAGCATTTTGAAAGATTCAACTTACCAAAAAGTTAAATAACTACCCACCACCACCGCCCCCTTAGGTCTGCCTGCCAATCCCTTTACATAGAACAGGACAAACTTGTTTAAGATTAAATCAGTAACTCAAGCTTAGATTGTTTAGCTTGTTTGTATCAAGTATTCTCCAGCCTGAGAAAGAAGAAACCACAGAACAGTGAATGAAATTAAAAAATATGGTGTCCTTCTACCTGATCTAAACCCAATCTTTCACTCATTCTGATCCCTTTGAGGAGAGCAGCAGACTAGAGAAGACACTGAAAGTAGTATTAAAACCACAGACAGGCAGGCAGTGCTTTAACTATGTCTTGGACAAATGGACAGTCTGACAGTAGCTTATATTAACATGATTTACTCAACAGATGTCAGTCCTCTAGAGAAATTTCTCAGCAAGTGAGCAAAGAGAGAAGTCACTGAAGAGGGAAGAAACTGGAGAAAACTTCCCTCACACGTCCCAAATCTTTTCTGTTAGACACATGGGAAGAAAAATACCTTTACTAAAGGAAGTTGCCCAACAGGACAGTGTTACAGTAATAAACAAAACCACAACAACTAAAGTAGAAATCCACAAATGATCCCTTGAAAACAACATATCCAACACCGCTCCTCATTATTTCAATATCTCTCTCTTCTATTAGGGCCCCAACCAGCTTCAAGCCCATATAGAGGTAACCCTAACACTGCTCTGTGCTTCACCATTGTTTTCTGAAAAATTCCAGAAGCTCATATACACCTTACACTTTGTTTGCCTTTTTCCAAAGTATCAGCGTGTGAGAGCTAATACAAAAAAGATGGAAGAGAAAGCAGTCCTTCTGACTGTCTGGCATCTGGTGTGTGAAGCAGTAATATGGCTGCAACAGTAGCTGACAGAACCATGCGTATTCAACAGCTTAGAAACTTTCAGAAAATTACTTTTACAAAAACATGCAGCATTCCTGCTGTGTGCTTCTCAACTAGCTACAAGGACGATTTCTGCAAAAAATCTACAATGAAGCTTAATTCACTTTGTAGTGCTGAATGCTTGGACCCCAAACATGAGAGCACAGTCAGCATACTCTCCATACAGCCTGTATGAATTCGCTACCAAATATCAACAGATATAAAATTCACCTTCTCTTTAGCACTTCTCTCTTCTCTATCCGGTTAAACAGCTCCTGTTCTCTCTCCTTTTCTGTCATTTGTTCCAGTCGAGCTCGGTCTTCTTCATCTCCCATCAGATCTTCTCCATAGCCATCATGGAATTCCTCATCTTCAGATGAAGAATCTGAATCTGAGCTAGATGAGGAGCTGTTGCTTTCTGAGTCAGAGACTTCTCCTAAAACAAAAATACAAGGCAGCAAGATTCAGCTGAGGCAAAGTCCAACCACTTCATTGCAGCATGTTAGCAAAGGATACCAAGAATGAATTTTACGCTCCTCTTCTGCTATACTAAAAGCATACATATCATGAAAACTAAACACAGGAGGAAATACTTTACTACCATAAGATATGCATGCTAAAAAACGATAAAATGAGTGGTACTACATGTGAACACAAAGAGGGTTATAAGTAAAAATTCTTAGTAGAACAAGCAAATTTTAGGAGGCCTTTCGGTTAGTGTGTTAGGGTCTTAAGGTTAGATTTCTATGCCTATATGCTTATGTTCCTGAGAAGTTGCTTATACATCCATAACTTTGTAAGTGTGTGTGCAGACCTCAAATGCCACTATTAACCACCACCAATACTCCTCATTATAGCAATCTGAAGAACCAAAATTCCGTCATTTGAAGACTGCAGCACTATGAATTGCTACATCAAAAGATAAAGTTGAAACACGCTACCCTCAGGGCTGGTAAGGACGTGATGCTAGCTCCATTACCGTAACAAGCCCTCCCAGTTACACATGGACTTAGGGAACAGCTGACTCCCCAATAATATTGGGTAACACCACCTTTACAATTGATCCAAGTCCAAGTGCTTTGATTGTCTCACCTAATTGACTACATTACACCAAATTGCAAAAGCAGACATTAGGATTCTTTCTTTCACTTTCATTCTGGTCTCAGTATTTCTGGAAACTTCCAGTGTTGCAAGCTTACACTCTGAAAAACCTTGATTTGTAAGCCCTGATATATACAGGTTCAGTCACTTCATGCTTCAGTCTGTCTCTGCTGTGCTTAATACACTTAAAACTGGAAGCTCCTTCATATTCTTTCTTAAACTTTGTTTTTTTAGTATCAACTGAAATTACAACTAACCACCTGCAAACCTTCATGGGCATGATAAAACCAGGAAAGAACACAGGATGTTTGCCCAGCATTGGAACAGATTCAATATTCATGTAAAAGTTTCTAACAAAGCTATAGTAATGATTTTTATTCTTCCATGTCAGTATAAATTTGCAAGAATTCCAATTCAGAGCAAATGCAAGCAAGATAAGCTCCTATTTGCATCACGCAACACTATTACACCTCTCCCTTTGTCATCACAAGAAGTTTGGGAAGGGAAAATACGTCAACAGGAATAAAAGAAAATGCTAGCCTTACTACAGATGGGGCATGATAGAAGGAAAAAAAGAATTTTCTAGAAGAAAGTCAAGTAATGAAGCATGTCATACATTCTTCAGCTGAAACAGTATTTAGTGTTGCGGTTGTAAAGGAGTGCTTACAGGAATGCTATACTGAATTATAGGCACTTCAACCATGGCAAGTTTAAGAGTCATCCAGACTACCAGTAACACAAAGAAAACTCTTTGAAGGTAGTCTTTAACATCACCATTGAACATTACTCTTCAGTGTGCACAAAAGGGTAACTTCACTTGGAATTACACTGTAAGTAGTTGCACATGTATTATCTTACCCTCTTCAGGTGCCGAGCTCTCAGCCGAGCTGTCTTTATCCGAGCTGCCTGAAGAGGCAGCTTTGTTTGTCTGTTTCTTCATGGCTCCTTTTTTCTCTGCCTTACCCGCTTTTCCCTTTTTTTTGTTTTTAGAACCTCCAACAGTCCACTGCAAGGAAAAAACCAAAGAAGGGATCATAAGACATGAACATCACTCTCTTCTCCCTCCCCCAAAACACTGGAGTAAAAACGACAACTGAGAAACAGTCCAATACCTGACAGCAACAAATCAATCATACGGGGGGGGGGGGAAGGAAGCCAATAGGAAATTTATCAAATGAAAGCATTTTACAAGGTTTATGGGTTTTGGGGGGTGGTGTGTTGTGTAGTTGTTTTGGTTTTTTTCCTAAAAAAAAAAAAAAAAAAATCAGTTATCAGTGCAAGCCAACAGTTGGTAGGACACTCCTTTTAAAAACAGTGAAGACTTCAGAGTCTGCAATATCTGCCAGGAGAAAAGAGGTACTAAAAATATTTTCCTAGGAAAATAACCTTAAACAACAGGTGTCCAACTGCATTTGTAAAGATTAGCTTCAGTTTACTACTCTTAAACAGAAGCAACAGATGTGTTTCCAAAACTAGTTTATTCAAGAGCATATTTAAATTTCATGAAGGCACACCAATTATACATAACAGTCTTTCCAAAATCTCAGTTTTACCAAGAGTACACAGCATCTGTATTTTTATGCAACAAATCAATAGCGTCCTTGCTCATGGACAGTAGTGTCACCACCTGCATCTAGGTACACAAGTCAGAATCAAATCACAATTGCAGAAGTCAGGAAAAAAAGAAAACAAAAAAAATCGAATGTCAAGTCTTAATTTTCATTTTCTTTTAATATCACGTCTTCAGTTAAATTAGACCGCAGTTTCCAAGTACAGGACTTATACCACCACACACACACAGGTAGCAACTTTAAATTCCTAAATCCTAGGAGAAGAACTAGTATTTACCTTATAGTGCAACTTCTTATTATAATTTTTGCATTGTCCCAACTACCTGGGTAAAGCCAGAAGGGAACAGAACTGGTAAGGATTGCCTGTGTATTATTTTAAGGCTTTACAACATTTTGTACTTTACTCCTCTCCTAGAAATTCTCCAGGCACAAAAGCTTCAAGGATAAGACAGTTTCTTTCTAAATATATATATTTAGACTGTTATCCTCTTCATACCTGTATATTACTCTCATCTTTCATGCACATCACCATCTGTTCAAGCATGCAGTCGACTAAAAAAATATTCCTAATTCAAATGAGCAAATACTCTTTTGCATACATGAGATCTTGCACTCAAAACTACTCTAACTGGGGCAGGGTGGGGGTGGAAATCAACTGAGATTTGACCTCAGGTGCACCCAAACTTCAGGCTTCTCACCCATTCATCCCTTCCTGGGGATGAATCAAGTCCATCTCTGCAGGCAGTAATCATTCCATCAAATCTGATGACTTCTGCCCGATTAGGCACCATCTTCAGAGAACCCTGGTGTTCAAATACTCTAAATGAAACTCAACCAAGTAGTTTGAAGCTACCACCTGATCTACTGGTACTTTTAGAATTTCCTAGGTTTTGATTACTCTCACACCAAGCCTTGTACCTTCCATATTACCAACTGCTTCATCATCATCTTTAGGCATCAGCTGTGTATTCAAAAGTATATCTGTCAAAGGCCAGGCTGAAGTTTTCTTTTCCGAGGTAGAAGTACAGCAACCTAGCAGTGAGCCTCTGACTGCAATCCATACCCTGTGCAGTTACCCCAGTCTGTTATGGTCCATAGGGTAGGTTAGAAACTGCACAGAAAGCATCTGACTTTTTATCAGCCTGAGCTTGCACTCAAGTCTTTATTGGCTTCCACATTAAAAAGTTTTACTTGTTCAGTGTTACAATACTGCTGCCTAATAGTATTCCTGGTTAATTATGCCCATGTAATCAGTTAAGAACAAGCTTGTACTCTGCCCAAATCTGCTCAAACCTCAATGTTAAGGAATCATCTCCTAGGTATTACAGAAAAGTGCATTTTTGCTATTTGTTCAAGAGCTCACCTACTGCCAGCAGTGAAAAAGTGAAACTGTGCATTTAGCAGGGAGGAGCAGAGCCCTCTGAACCAGGGAGGCAGAGGCGCTTCCTTCCCAGAACTCTGACACTTCTTTTCAGTGGGCTAACACAGAACTATACCCTGTATCAGCATGCTGTATAGCAAGGAAGAAGCACAGAGAAAGCCATACAGTACACCACAATTATACCAAGACCTTGAGAGGCCACGCTGAGATGAAAGAAATTAACATCAGATAAAAACAGCAGGACTCAGTTGTTAATAAAATGTTTAATAGCTGTAGATATATGCATTACAGATCACTGTTCTCAGCCTTTGACTCACAAGTGGAAATGTAGAGAGAACCTGGGTCCAGGAAGATGGGACTGAAAAGAAAGCTGTGTGACAACCTCTTGAACAAAAAAAAGTAATAAAAAAAAATCTGCCCTAATCTAGGAAATTTTGCTTTGGTTTCTATTTCACCCTGGACATTACACTTCATCTCACTTTTGTTTATGCAAGTGACCTCTATGTCTTTTAAGTCACTATAACTGGTTGTCACCTCCCAGTTTCAGTGCTGTCACAAAGCCAAATTCTTCCTCATCCAACTCAGGTGCTTCAGGGGTTAATTCAGCTACCCCAATCTCTCATGAATGCCTGGCCATTCCTGGTACCACTACAGCACAAGACAAAATTTCAAGCTAGCCTTAAGGACAAATAAATCATCAAAACCAGGACGTAGTCAGTGCAAGGCTCTTTCAGGCTCATAGATTGCTCTGCAGGCTCAGGAACCACCAATTGCCATTTGGACACTGAATGACCACTCTGCATTGTTCAGAGAGTCCAGCCAACATCAAGTTTCTTCTTACAGCAGAAGACATAACAGAGATTAGCAGGTCAGAGGGTGGGGGAAGACAATACTGGAAAGCCATGAACTGCATGGCAACCTGCAGTCCAAACCAAAGTTTTGAGCCCCTCCCTCACACTCTAGCACACCAGCAGAGATCAGAAAGGCAACATGTTTGCATGTAACATGAAGTAAAAAGGCACAAACAGTTATAGTCAGAAGCATTTGTTTGCTCTCTTTCCCTTAACTCAAACAGCATCTCAAACAGCAAACAAAAACCATATTTTCCAAAATCTGTCCACTACTGCAGCTTCTCCACGTTCCCTCTTCCATGTTCCAGTAAGGCAGAGACAGTCAACACTTCTCACATGCTTTCCATGACTATAATGTCTCCTCTAAACAGCCCCTCTATTCACTGCTGCCTCCTCGGCCACCATCTGGAACCCTCCACAGTTCCAGACATGGCAAGTTAATAAACCCATGCAGAAGTGTGCTGCAACACAGCTTTCTGCTTATTGTTTAGTACTACCAAACAACAGAGCTTTATGGTTCATTCACAGGAATTAGCCAGAAGAGCATTTCAATTTTTCCTCTTGCTTCCAAGGTTCACAGTGCTAATAGCTTGCATATTTCCCCCAAGAAACAGTTGGACTCAATGATCTTAAAGGTCCTTTCCAACTTAAATGATTCTATGATTCTAAGAAATCCAAGTCCACAGTACCCAGAATGGATTGCCAATTAAAAAAAAAAAGAAAACCACATTAGAAATTAGTCAGATTTAGAAGTCAGCTTCTAGAAAAGCAACTACACAAAATGATTGAAGAAAATAATTTACAGCTCAGCAAACCTGGAACATATTTGCACGAGGGAGATTAAATGAGATCGAGGAGGGAAAAAAAAAAAAAAAGAGAAAAAAAGTGAGCTCTTGGAGTGCAGAATGCAGTAGAACTGTTTTACATGTGCTGCTCAGATAGTCGTTATTTTCTTCCATTCACACAGTACTTAAATGCTTTATCCACTGAGATTTTATTTTGCAAATAGGTATTCTCCCTGCTTTTTTGTTTGTTTGTTTTACATCAAACCGGACAGAGATGCACAACCAACATTACCAGCCTGCCCTTGCCATATCCTTCCCTCCTGGATATGGCTTTTATAAGCAAAAGGCAAATTACAAGCCACGACATCAAAGAAAAACAGGTCCCTTACCAATGTGTTCCTTTCCTAGGCCAGATAAACTTACATGCCATGACAACATGACGGCTTAAGAGCGCCAAGGTACATGACATCAGCCCAGCCTACAAACTTTCATCCCTTCTCCCCCATTCACACAGGGAAAACAAAAGGCAGTCCTTCAGGCAAGTCATCAAACTGCAGTTTCAGCCTCTCTGAAGACAACAGCAGGCAGCACAGATATGAAGATAAGGCAGCATTTACTGTCTTCAGGGTTTCTCAAAGCTGGGAGAACTCTAGAGACAGCACTCCAAGAGCTACAAGGATGAAAATGTTCTCTACCACTGCTGTTAAAACTAAATAGTAAATAAAAAGCCCTTGTTTCCTGCCTTTTGTCTGTACCTCTCATTTGGATGCCTCAAACACCTTCAAAATAACAACAGCCCAGCAACTAGAAAACTGAAAGGACCATTTTGGACACAAAGAGGAGACTCAAGGTGTCAAAACCAAAGATGGAAAGGAGATAAGCAAATAAAGGAAACACTTTCTGAAGCCACAGAAGAGGCTTTGCCAGGAACTGCCTGAAAGATGGCTTCATGGACCAAAATATCACCAGACACTTGATCTACCCTTATCGTCTGAGTACTGCTCAAAGGAGCTCACAGAAAGGTAACTAATGAAAAAAAGCCTACCTATAGTAGGTTCAAATTCAGTTTAACGTGCAAGTTAACATTTGCTCTAGAAGTATTTTGAGGGGTCCATGTACTGAAAAATGGCAAGAACTGCTGAGTAAAAACATCAAGATGGTAGCTACCAAATGCCAATGAAGAAGCACTCGCCATAATCAAAACAAACTCTGTGAAACCCTGCAATGTTTTCTTTAGGAAGCCTGGGCCAAGCAGCTGGAGATGACAACAACTGTAAAACACTTGGTCAACAAGTGCCTTGCATGGCTCTAGCATTACCAGCCAGCAAGAATCATCTGGACTAACAAATGCTTAATGACTTCTCTACATATTAGACAGTGCCTTATGACTGGATTGTTCTCAGCAAAAACTGCTCCCTGGGTACAAAGAAAAAGTTCATTCAGTGAAAAAAATTAAATAAAATCACATATTAAATTCCAATACCTCTATGAGTCTATTTCTGGAGCAACCTGCTCCACTTCAGAGCTCCTGCAGACTCTCATACCACATAAATCAAGTCCCCAGAAGTTATCCCCATGCTAGTTTGCAATTTAAAGAAGCTACATGCCGACAAAGTTTTATACCTGTTTTGTCCACAGCTGGTTCACATTACTTCTTTGGACATGCTAGCCTCCATACAATTAGCCTGTGCTATTCAGATTTGCACTTGCACTTTGTTTGGGGTGGGGGAAGTAACAGCGCCTCTCTTCCTTAAGGAAAGCTTTACTATTGCACCCATTAACAGCTGAAGGAAACCGTCTCCAAGTCAAAGTTACAAAGCACACAGCCTATAAGGCTGTGTATAAGAAGATTAAAGCACAGCCTGTTTCAAATTTCCTAAGCTTGAAAAAATGTATGGCAAAGGCCTCACAGGACTGGAGAACCCACTCATTCTTGAAGGTCTAATTAAGCAGTGTTATGAAATAAAAGCACACAGGAAAGGGGAGACATTTAGCGTCATAATCTCTACAAACCCACAAAAGACACCCCCAAAACGGAAGGAAAGCATGCAGTTTTCTGCTAACCTGTGGTTTACTAGAGTGCTCTAACTTGAAGTGCAGTAAGTAGACCCAAACTTTCAAGTTCTATCCTCATAATAGGGGCATAAAGCCTCATAGGCCGACTGTTATTCAAGACTGATTTCCTCACTAGCTGCATGACCACTGCTCACCTCCTCCTCTGTCCCATAGCTCTTGACAAGAGCTTCAGCTATGCCATTTCCTACTGAATCTGCACATTTGCAAATAAATGCATAAACAGATAAACTCCAGACTAGTACCAAGCATTCACCATATAACTTTTCTTGTCCTGGAAATACGTTCTGCTATCACCCTAGAGCTGTTAAAAGGCACAATCAAACCCCTCACAACATTAGAATGAGGGCAGAAGGATGCACAAACTTACACCAGCATTGCTAACAACAAACGTTTCAAGAGAAACGAACAGGAGCTCCTACAGCATTGTGGCTTTCCATCTAATCTACGCTGATGTTAGTGAAGTTGTTGCAGACATCATCCAGGCTTCACCATGCAAGAGAAAGACTTCTCTTACTGTAAGCAATGATGCCAGGATAAAAGGAAGAGCAAGAACCCAGAATTAACCTATTGCAACTGAGGAACACCATCCATACAATGTCTTCAATAAGCAATGAGGGTACCTTGTGGACACATATACCTCTAGCACAGTAGCCCCAGTAGTAACTTGGCTAACACCAAACTGGTTACGTGCAGCAGGCTAACAGTTTGGGATGGTGGTCATGGCCACATGTTGCTCCACAGATAAAGGAACTGTCTGCCTCCACACGCTGCGTCCAGCTTAGTGTACCTCTTTGCGAAGGTAGTACTTCTTATTCCAAAGCCCTGCAGTCATTGCTATTTATCAGTTCTCTGAACAACAGTTCATAGTCAATTCAGTCATGCATGTTCCACAGACCCACCAGAAGATGGTTCAGAGCATCCCTCCTATTTCATTGCCTGCAACTCACCTTCAGTCCCTTGGCTCAGTAATTTGATTCTGACCACAGAGGTCCTTAAAGTGTTACAGAACCCAGCATCTCCACCGTGAACACCTGATGTGGCTCAGAGCTTTCACAGAAGCACATTCTCCCCGGAACACACAAAATACAACACAAAAGATCTGCTGAAATCCCTTGGGCACCACTGTGTAGATGTGGCATGATTTGTACATGCTGTTATTCTATAATTGTAAAATGCACTTTCCCTCCCTACGCCCCACAAACTTTTCTCCCTTTAAAAAAAATGCAGAGTGTAGCATTAGCCTCTGAAGCAGAGATTTAGGCTCCTTTCCTGTACATGTAACATAGTGACAATCCTGGAACCTTTAGTTCTTGTCAGGAACCACACAGGACCTGCACACTACAAAATCTGCATGGAAGCACATGGGTATGATTAAGCACATTTGCACAGGGCAACAATTTCCATGCTTTTGCCTCAAGATCCTCATCTTGCAGGAAGTTCAGTAAGACAATTTCGACTTTTAGACCCCCTCTCCCAACCCCCAAGGTTGAGCAAACTTCAAACCAACCACAAGAACACTGATTAAACCCAAAGTTCTTCAGCAGTAGTGTAGTCAAGCCTAGGGATGCACGCAACTGAATGACTGGCAGAAGCAGAACTGTTATAAACCAGCCTGTCTCACCCTGCTGTGACAAGCAGCAGTTCAGAATGCATATTTCAGGCACAGGAATAGAAGCAAGTGTCCTAATTACCTCTTCTCTAAATCTTTTCCTCTTGCTGCATGGAGGTCAGAAAAAACTGAGTATCAATTAGAAATGAAACACAGACTAGAAAGAGTATCAAATGCACATGATGCAACAGAGATACTATAGCATCTGCAAGGTCTGCGCAAATTTGTGAAGAGATACACTGTCATATTCTACATAAAATGCAAAGGTAGGCCCTACTTGTAGTCACACAAACTAAAAAAATAATTTGAATAATATTATTTATTCTGACAGTTTTCAGAGATAAACACAGAAGCCTTTATCATCAACGAGCTCTCCACACCTAAGTCTACTTTTCCAGACAAGTTGGTCTCCACGCAGCTTAGAATAAATGAGCTGTGTGCCAGCAGATCTGAACACACAAAAGCAACAGACCAAGGGGTCACCCAATAACAAACCTAATATATCTAGCCCATTCACAATTTTCTCTTTCCTTATGTCTTAAGCATAGATTAGATAAAAAAATAGAAAATGGTGATTCTTGTATTTTTTTAAGAAAAGGACTGATGGAAACAGAGTTCCAAGCATATTTATTTCAAAAATGCCTCAGAAAGAAAATTAAACCACACATTCTTTACACTTATTGGAAGAATTCTGTTACACTACCAAATGCTTAACAGTTATATAGTTTATCACTGGCCTACCCTATCAGTCTTCAAGTTGTCACAATGAATAATCCTTCCTATAGTTTCAGAAAAAAAATCCACCCCAAACAGCTCCCTGTTAAATTTTTAAGAATAGATGGAATAAATGACCTCACTACATTGTGCAGAAAGCTTATAAAAGACATTTGTAAGCCTTCAAGAAAGTGTTTTTATTCAAATACCTGTACGACCTGTTTGTCAGTTCCTCTGTTCTGATAGGTCTATTTCATTTCTCATTTACAGATGAAAGCAGAGACTTTTAACCAGCTCCAGAATGTAGCACCAAGAACAAATAATAAAAACAGATCTAGCAGATAAGCACCACTATACAAGAAATTGACAAAAGCCCAGAACAAAGTTATGCTAAACTCTTCCTTGCCTCACTTTCTTCAAAAATGCCAATAAAAACACACTCTGTTGCATGTTGAAATGACGAGACAAGCTAGCTCACAGCAGAGTTCCTTGAGAATCAAAGTAGCTAAATAGAACAGTTTTACCACCTGTAAAACAGTACTACCTGCCTTGACCCTTCTCTTCTCTAAGGAAGCTCTCTCCTAAAGCTGAAAACCTCTCCTCCTTAGTTCAGAGTCCAGCTTTAGCAGCTTTACTGCTACTTCAACTGCCAGCATTACACAGGAAAACACCAGTTTTAAGTAGGCAGACCATTCAGACCATATGAACATGGGATGAAACAGGTAGGCATCTTTTCTATAGGCATTCAGACTATTTTGTATACAGTTACAATTCAAAGCATATTAGTTAAAAGACAGAAAGAAGTATTTCTGAGTATACATCCTCTGGTCTTAATGGGTCTCCACCAGTTCCACTGATGGCCAGTCCCACTTTATGAAGTCAGCAGGCTAAATATACTGTATGACGAATACACTTTCACTGCTTAGGTACAATCAGACATATAACCCACAGTAATTTCACTGACAACATGACAAACTCACCTCATCGTCACTGTCTGACGTCTCAGAGTCTGAAGATGCTGTAGGTTTGCTCACAGGTGGCTCCTTTTCTTCAGAGTCACTGCGTTTCCGTTTGGCCAATGACAAGAGCTCCTGGTGTGAAAAACCACACATTTATTTTAAAATGTCATAATTAGTTTTACCAATCCAGTTCAGTGGATATGCACCTTCTCTGTGAATATTTGAGCACATCCCAGTAACACGATTATCCTCACTGACTAAGGAACAAAGTCTACTTATGTTTCATAAATATATATACACACACACACACACACAACTTTAATACAACTGGATGCTACAGAAGGATTTTGAGGATAACAAGCTATAAGAAGTAAGGACTACTACCATTACTTTCTTGGTATAAACCACATGCTACAAATCACTTTCAGAGTCATGTCCAGGTCTGTTTTATTTGGATTGGGTAATAATTCAAAAACACCCTAACTACATTGTGTAGCATTAACCCAAAAAGCCAAATACCACTAGACAGCAGCTCCTCCTTCTAAACAAAAGAGATGTTTCCAATTATACACTTTAAAAACGAAATACTTTAGGCATCGCCACAATGTCACGGCTGATAATATTTAGTCAGCCTGTTGAAGTCCTTTTCACTGTCCCCACACATGACAGAATGCACTTAAAGCTTTGGATAGACGCAGAACAGGCATCAAGCTCAAAGTCTGTGAAACTAAGTAGAGCTGTTCTTCTCCAAAGGAAGCACTTTCAAAGACAACACACACCAGCACAAAGAGCTAAATGGCTCTCAAATAATCTCATCATCTGCTCTTCATAGGTTGTTCAGATGACAGAAGCAGTACTATAAAACAAACATTTCTGAAGCTGCATTACTGTCTTTGTAGTCCATGACACATAATTTATTCTTAAAAACATTGCTCTGGGGTTGACGAACCGTAGCTGTGAGTAGAAATACAGTCACACCAACTTCTGCAGTCTTGGGAAGTCAATACTAGATTGGTTTGCATTAGTTTCACAACTGGAAGATTATCTCCACAGCAAACGGATTACAATTTAGTACCTCAAATGAGAACACAAACACTGCAGAAACTGATGGCCTAGGCTACTTACCAACAAAGAAACCTTCCATTAGTAAAGGCATTTTACAAACCTTTCTCTGAAGAAGGCATACAACATCAACAGAACACATTTGTACAATTAACAGTTCTCTTCAGGAAGCTCCTGATGTTTTCTACAATCTTTTCTAGAATTTCTCTCTTACAACTGTCTCTAAGTAGTCCTTCAACCCAGACTACCTCCCTGGATGATATCTTGGCATGTTTACCACTACTTTTATTCCAAGCAATTTTCCTTCTTTCTTCCTACCCTTGTCCTGTTTTCCAAGATAATATATTAGAAAGGCTCCTATTCCTTTGATTCAACAAGCCTAGATTGCCAAGGGAAGCTGTCAAACATTTAACCTACAGGGGCCTCACTCAGTATACTCTCATAGCATACTCTCGTCCTTAAATCACACCACAAAAACATTGCTTCCCTGCTCCCTAATCTTCACCCTTGCACATACACATCCCTGCTGTTACATTTGCTACAAGCAGCTCAGCAGAGGACGAAGCACCTACTACTCGGGTACAGCTGCAGATGCATGCTTCCAGTGAACGATGGAACAGATGCAGAACCGTATGGTTATTCCTACCACCATCACTCTGATTGCCTGATCTATTCTAGAGCTAGTCCACCTCCTTCTATTTTCAAGCTCTGAAGAAACTACCAAACAAATATACTAGTGGTGAGATGTTGGCAGCTCTTAAAGACTCTAGAGGCATGCAAGATCAACAACATCAGGGCATGCAACATCTGCTCCAGTATACTTGTCTAACAGAGCCTCCGATTTGATTTCTGTGAAGCTCCAAGCTGCAAACCTATTTTTGAGTGTTTGGGAAGGCTTTTTATTGCAACATAGCGACAACTTCTGTATTAAAAACCCTGAAGGTCCAGCACATAAATTGCATCGAACATGTAGGCTTCAGCATATTTAACCAGCCACACTTCTCCCCGGAACAAGCACTGCCATACAAGCTGTAACACACTTCACCTATAATGTCTTTATTTACCATTTGAATCACATCATCACCACCTGCTACACCGAAAGTTGAGTCTTTGAAAGCAGCCCCCTCCAAAGAGGAAGGCACCTCCTTTGCACCCCTGACACGGTTAAAATGACACCAGACATCGCACTTCCAATCCCAGGAGATGCCCTGATGATAAACAAATACCTCCCCTTGTTGTATCTACAGCCTCCTAACTCCATGCGGTTTCCCCTCAGCAGACCTCTCCCCCAGCTCCGTCGCTCCGACCGAGGAGGGAGCATTAAACACGCATTAACCCCCCCCCCAAGCCCACCCCCC